AGAGGGCTGACCTGTGAAACTTCATTGATGGCTCTGAGGTAGAAACCAGTTTCTCAAGAGCTAATCCGACGTGACACTCTATAAATGCCGGTTGCAAGCCTCCGCCGCCTTTTGAGGTGCTTCTTCTTCCGGCGAACACAGGCAGAGCTCCGAGGTGCCGTGAAGAAGGACGAGGCCTTTGACTTCTTCCTGGCGCCCGACACCTTCCAGCCAGACTGCGGCTTTAAGCCAGGGAGGGATCCCGCTCCCGCCTGCCACACCCGCTGGCTCAGCGAGCCCGGGAAGGTCCACGCCTTTGCCTGCCAAGTTCGGGTTTTGGAGCCCTCGGAATGCACCTACTACTGCGCTTGCGGCTTCCAGAGTGGCTACTGTGGCATCCAGCAGCTCGAGGGCCAGAAGCAGATGATCCTCTTCTCCCTCTGGAACCACCAGAAATCCGCCCGCGTGGAGAACCTCGTCGCCGCCCCAGGCCGGGAGCTCCGAAAAATCCTCGAGGTAGGACTCTGTGGGTGTTCACCAGGCGTGGATGCCAAGCCCTTTGGCGGGGAAGGGATGGGCATGGGTGCCTACTGCGACAAGGGCACTCTGGCAGCCTGGCGCGCCGGAGAGGCCCCCGGAAGGGGACCTGCCCAATAAGAGGGAGAGGGAGAGTCTCTACCCTGTTGAGGCCTACCTCTTCGTGATCCGGTCCAGGGCCGTGGAGTCGGGATCGGAGGTGAGCTGCCACCTGCACAAGCCGCAAAAAGGCTGGGTGGAGTTCGCAAGGCACCTTCGACCGGAGCCCGAAGAGGACCGAGGGAAGCTCTGGGGCCTTTACAGCTTCATCGAGGACTTCACTGGCTCCCTGGCAGATGTATACGGCATAAGGCTTTGCGTTGCCGGGCTTCTTTTTGGTGGCCGTCCCGTCAAAGAGTTGTGTGAGAAGAGAGAGGAGAGGGAACAGACTATGACCGTGCGGGGCCTGCAGTGAAGTGCAGGGCTAGAGCCACGCTCACCGCATCCATCAAGAACTCGTTCCCACATCTTGGATGCCTTGCTTGATGTTGCGGTCGTGAGGGCGTCCAACGTACATGTGAGCTAGCTAGTCCACGTGTGCTATGGCCCATGCTCACCTCGTGCATCGGCTAGTTCGGACAATGCACATGTGAGATAGTCCACAGTTACCACATGCATCAAAAGCCGAATCAAAATCTGTTTGGACAATGTGGACACGCGGCTTGATGCTACGGTCGTGGGGGCATCCAATGTCCATGTGAGTTTGTCCACACTCACATCATAAGTTCGGTTTGATATTTTCGATGCACTGTTAGTCAGTCCACACAACCCCTGCATCAGAAGCTTGCTTGGACGTTGTGGAATTGCGGAAAGACTGCTTGGTGTTACGATCGCGGGGGCCGTCCAACACAATGTCAGGTAATCCCTTCCCCCATTTGTTGAACACCTAATTCCCTAGTATGCAAGCCACTTTGGGGCCAATTCTCCTCCCGGAACATACCTGTCCTTTAAACCTAATGTGCATTGTCATTAGAGTCATTAGAGGGGTCCGGAGCAAGAGCAGGAGGAGGAGCAAGAGCAAAAGCAGGGAGCAAGAGCAGGAGATAGAGTAGGCGAGCTGGAGCAACAGCAAGCAAGGGCAGGAGCAAGTGAAGGAGCAAGAACAAGAGAATGAGCAACAGCAAGAGCAGGAGTAAGAGCAAGAGCAAAGGCAAGAGGAAGAGCAGGAGTAAGAGCAAGAGCAGCAGCAAGGGCAACAGCAAGAGCAAGAGCAGGAGTAAGAGCAAGCGCAGGAGCAAGAGCAAAAGCCGGAGCATCAGGAAGAGCAGGAGCGAAAACCAGCGCGGAAGCAAGACAGCAGGAGCAAGAGCAAGATCCAGCAAAAGTGACAGTAGAGATAAATATAGCCCCCAATAATTACACACGTTCCGAGTTTTTGTTGGGGGGGTCCCCCGAAGGAACGGTTCAGGCCACACGCACCAGATGCATCAAAAGCTCGCTGGATATTGTGGACAAATGTGAGCTAGGCCAATTCACCGACGACTGGCTGTGATGAAAGTGCACGTGGTGACTTGCTATCTCCAGTGTTTACAGCTTGTCATGCGAGATGTGTCAATGCGGACAATGGTGTTTCCTCATGACATCTGATGAGTGAGTTGCATTGGGAGGGACAGAGACTCGGACCGGACGAAGAGGAGGGAGGAAGGCTGTGATGGGTCGCTTCCGAGGCAACTCCGTGCGCCGCTCGGCCCAGTACGCCGCCTGGGTGCAGGTGGAACCTGGAGCAGAATGGCAGGCTGTCGCCAGCATCAAAGGCACCAGCTCCGCCGACCTCGACGTTCCCAACAAGTGCGTCCGGTTGGTGGAGTGCGACATGAATGAAGGATGTGAGGTCGTCTGCATGGAGAGTGGTGGCGGTGCCCTGGCAGACTGCGGCCTTTGCTCCGGAACCTGGCGGGCCCCGCCCGTTCCCAAAGCTCTCTCCGAGCTCTCGGACGGTTGACTTCACCGAGGCCTCCCCTGACCTCCCAACGGCCTCCTCCGACTCCACAAGCCAGAGGCGCAGCGAGGAGGGCGCACGCCCAGGACCAGCTCAGAGAGAGCTTGGGCTCAGCAACCTTGCCACGTCTCACACGGAGACCCGTGGGCCGCGAAGAAAAAAGTGGGACGATGCACACGGTTTCTCTCGTTCGACTCCCGACTGAGGTCTATGTTTGCCAGGTGGACAACTGTGATGCGGGGGACCCAGTACTCGGTGTTCCATGCTGCTGCTACTGTTTATATCCATGCCTCGCACAACAGGACAGGAGCTCGCAATTTCCATGATTCTGAACCCTAAACCCTAAGCTGCCATCTGCCAGACTCCGCTTAGGTTGGCTTCCCCGATGGCGGCCTCGAGGTGGTCGCGCGGGCCTCATCTCCGAGCGGTTCTGGTTTCCTGATGCCATCTAACAGCAAGCATAGGCATACCCCACATCTCAAATGCTATACTCCCCCCTATGGTTTTCAACCCATTCTGAAAGCACACCCCAAATCAACCATGCCGAAACCCATATCACAAGCAAAACAAAACAACCTCACCAAAACCCAAAGCACAAACCAAAACACAGAGCATCTACAAACTCAACACTAAGTCCGAAAGCAAAAATCAAAATCAAAAGAACCTCCATTCCCCCACACCTCAACCCTCCAAAACACCAAAACC